CTTATACTGTATAATTTACTGAATGTATAATATTGGATATACTTTCGTTTATTGCTGAAAATATGTGAAATTATATTACAAGTATTCTAACAAACCGCCGAACATGATTGGAGTTGGTCAATTGCGATCTTCTGATTGACGTGTTGCACGTCAACTCAATATATAATATTAAAACTCATTTGAGGATGATTGTAATCTAATTTCGCTGACGACAAGTAAAATATTGTCATAACTGATTGAGTCTATAATCTATAATATAACTTAATAAGATACCAAATTTGGTCATAATTAATTCACGATTTCGGCGAATATTGAATGTTGAATTAGTTCACAACATTACAATTAGTACACAACATATTCTCGCAACATGTTGCTACCGACTATAAAAGTTTTGTTCAACTATCGGTTGTTTGTATCACCTAAAACTAATTGAGTTAGAAGTAGGGTTACAAGTATATACACATAAGTGATCAGGATGAACGAGTTGAAATCCGGGTGACTGTCTCTACGTCTGACCGTCCGTCTGTGCAAGCTGTAACTTGAGTAAAAATGGAGATATCTTTAAAAAACTTGATACGCATGTTTCTTGGTACAGTAAGACGGTTGAAATTGTAGATGGGCGTAGCTGGACCACTGCCACGCCCCAAAACGCCATTAATTAAAATCAAATAAATTGCCATAACTAAGATTCACAATAAGATACCAGACTGTTACTGGATCACACTAAGGAGGGACGTCTGCAGTTTACAACTTTTTAAAAGTGGGCGTTGTTCCCGTCCCCTAATAGGTTTAATGTGCATACCTCCTAAACTGCTAAAGCTATAATAACAAAATTTACTGAGAACAAATATTTTTAGCTCCTCTATCGACAGTGTGAAAATTGGTGAATTCAGGTGACAACCCCGCCCACTCCCAATATAACCGTACTGTTAAAAACTACTAAAAGCGCGATAAATCAAACACTAAATACGCCAGAGGTATTAAATATTATCTCAGTGGGCGTGGACCCATATCTTGGGATCGGCTTAACCGATTTCAACCAAATTCGGTACATAACATTCCTCTCATATTTCTATGTTATAGTGCGAAAATGGGCGGAATTCGGATTGCAACCGCGCCTGTTTTCTATATAACATCATTTTAAATTCCATCTGATTCTTTCACTTTCCATTATGCAAGTCAAGCAACAATGATTGTATGGGCGTAAAAGTTTCCGTGCATAATGCGTTTAAAGTGTGCCACCTTCTGACCAAAATATCTAAATCGAACCAAAACTGTTCAAGCCCCTAGGTACTGAATATGTGGACCCCAGTGCCTATTGTTGACTTTGTACCGAAAATATCGGTCAATGTGTGATATATATAATTGAAATTCATATAATAAAATAAATGAATGAGAGTCTCGATAATATTTTGTCTTTGTGTGAAAAATGGGTTGAATCGGATCAATACTTTCCTTAATATAAAATTTTGCCAACAGCTGAAGTAATTCCCCAGGCTTTGATCCTTGCAAGTTGCGGAAGTATAAAATGTTCGGTTACACCCGAACTTAGAACTTCGTTACATGTTTTATATATTATATTTTTTTATATTCATTTTTATTCTTATAAATTTGTGATTTTATATAATAACTTGATGCTCCCGTGTCTGCAATTATTTTACAAATTTGGCCATTAACTCTGTCATGGAGGAAAATATATGGCAGAGTTAGTTTTGTTCCAAAAAATTATCCTTTTTAATATTATTTATATTGAGTACTTAGTTGTGCGCTGGCATATGGTCGTTTATATAAAGTATTCACTCGTGTATTTTTTATTTATGTCATAATGTGGTCGGTTTTGGACTCGAATACTTGAATCGACATCCATTGGGGTAGTTCTTGGCTAAATATTTTGTTAAAATGGCCTTTGATTGTAGCCTCTTTTAAATTGGGTTGGTGGAACCGTAAATTATTATTAACATTCCCGTTATTGAAATTATTAGAAACGCTGTCACTAATGATTCGGTTTTTTTTGTTATGAATATACGCAAAGCATCCCGTGTATTTTTTGCGTTTAATTCTTTAGTTATGACACTATCCGATCCGTATCGAGTCGTTCCAAAATGGCATCGAAATTAAAAACCATTCGGTGATTAGATAATATGTCGTTAACATCATTTTTAACCTTATTTCTCATTATAGTTAATATAGCAAAATATGTACGACTGCTTCTAACATACAAACTCATTGCATTACTGGTTGATTCTCTCCAAATAAAACATTTATTTCGTTTTCCACAAAATTCTGGTAGTGACTTGACCACCTGAAGCGACTCATCACAATTGATATGTGGATCGATCACCTCTATTTTATAATCAACGACTGTAGTCGATTGTAGTAAGTCCTGTAGCTGCTTTCGCAACTCCTCTACCTCCAATCTAAGAGAAGCATTTGTTGCAGTAATTAGTCTATCTCAATATTTAGAGTCATTTTTTAATATTTTAGTTTTCGTATGTTTTAAATTTTGTTAATTTTTTGATAACCTTCAATAGCGGCTTGTTATTTTTTTTCTATAAGACCCTTATCTTGTTTGGTTTCTACTATAACATTTTAAGATTTTTAATAATTTTATCTCACCTATTGTTGTCTGAGGCGTCTGTAATTTTTCTCAAAGTTTTGGACATACTGTTTTTTTATTTGATTTTATATATTTATTTACTCCCTGCTCCTTATTTTTAATATATTTGTGGAATCTTCCTGTTCCTTTTTTTAAATTTTGTTTGACCCTTTCTAGGAAAGGAAACTCTATTATTCTGGAGGGTCTGGAGTTCAGAATAGCAGAATTCAGTTTATGTTATAAACCCCTTGTTGTGGTAAATCGCGGTTTTAATAAACTTTTGAATTAGCCACCTTAGTATTTTTGTCCCTCGTTCTCCTTCGCTGGCAACGCTTCGGCTTACAGTGCAATGCCTTATTGCTTTACCGACGCTAGGGGTTTTTTTCCCCTATCATAAATATATAATATATATCTCCTCCCGAGAGGATACTTGTTTGTTAAATTTTGTGTTTTCGACACGCGCCACTGTCCACCTGTCTAATCTGTTATCCTTTCGGCTAGGGATACTTGAAATTTTCTCCCTTTATTGGGCAAGGATACGCGGACACGTGCCCCACACGTTGGGCGCCAATTAACTTCCCTATATAGAGAAGGATTAAAAAATATTGGTTTTCCGGAAGAAATGAGAAAACTAATGTTTCGGTTGTCCGAATGGAAAAACTCTGTTTTCAACTTATTCTTATTTATACATTTTTTCTTATTTACTAAGAGCTATTTCACAATAATGATTGATTCTTAGAATAAATAATTCAATAAATTATAACGCAGAACGTTAAGCGTTCTGTGTAGTTTACAATTATCTTCATGTGAGGGCCACCAGCAATATTTTGATAAGAATGGATTATTCCATTCAGAAAGGAAAAAGCATATTGAATCCTTAAGTAATTAAAATATTAATAATCAATGCGGCTGCATTATTACAAAGCTTAAATGACATTTTGTTATCGTAAAGCTGCTGTATGGAGGCTGCCGTTAACTTGCCTGTATATCGGATGTATAATGGATTGAATCGGATCAATAATAATGTATTGTATAATGTATCTTTGTGCTTAAAATTGATAAAACTTGCGGAAAACTTGCCCTAGCCCCATATAACTAATATCAAAATTTTCAAATATCTAGTCGAATGTATTATATGTGAGGTACCTTAATGAATGTTAGTTAATAAGATACAAATTTGATTGTAGTCCATTCACGATTTCGTTGAATAATGAACGTAGAATTCTTTTCTAACATTTAATATTAAGTTTTCACAACGCCTGAAGGTATTTATCCGGCTTTGATCCCTGCAAGATACCATTGACCCCATGTAGCGTAGTACTTCTGAAAAGAGAAGTGCTTTTTTAAAAGGCACTAGAAGCATCCGCACGATTACGCAATTCAAAAAAATTCGGTGATTGTAGTTTTGGGTGGATTCATGGCAAATGAATTCATTTCATGAAAAATACGCGTAGGCGTAGAAAGGGAGAAAAAAAAACCGTCTTCGTTTTCAACCCTACTCTGTGATGTTTGCTGAATGGAAAGTGACAATGGGAGGCACCTGGTAGAGACGACTGATATATGACTGATGTACAATGAAGTAGAGCCAGTACTATAGATATCTTTTAAATCAATATTTTTCAAGAAATTTTGTTTTTTTTATGTTTTTTTTTATTGGTAGAAAAGAAACAATATATATATAGTATATGGTACATCAGTTAAACAACTTTTGTTAAGTTTTTTATTAAAAAAAAAACATTTTTTTAGGAACTATGTTCCTTTACTGTACTCAGAATTTGAACTAAAAGTTGCAATTAAATATACTTAACTCCAAACCTAAGTTTGCCGCTGCAACGGGGATGGAGTTCGCTGACCTTGCCACAGTTTCGTACTGCACGTGTCGCAACTTTTTTGATTTGATTGGTGTCATATCGCTTACTTTGTATCGAATTATTTTAATTTATCATATGATACCCTTTTAAATGTGTGACGTGCTTAACTTATAACTAACTAACTTATCAAAACTATACATGAAAATTATAGTATTCTACAATTATTATATTATATTCAATTGCCATCTTGTGAATCTTGTGAACGGAACAGATAATATAAAAATTGCGATTAAAAATCAGGTGTTGATCATAATTTAGAGTTGACTATATGTTTCAAGGCTGACTCATGAAAGAATTATAACAAAAAACTTTGTTCAACAAAAAAGAAAATATTATGGGGTGGTCCACCTTTAACATTTAGATGTACGAAAAATAAATGTTGGTCGATTCTCAGATCTACACAATAAGTACATCAAATTTCATCAAATTCAGTCCAGCCTTTTCAGAGGAGTTTGGAAATAACCACCGTAGCACGAGGATTTTATATATTAGATTATAAAAATCATTATAGAAAATAGAATTTAACGCCTTACCTTAATTTTTTAATTAACTTTTCTATCACCAACGAATAGCAAGCGCATGATAATGAATACATAGCCATTCCCCAGCAACCAAAGCGTACTCCTTCTTCGTATTTTATTTGTGAGTTGCTGCCTTCAAGACCCTTTGGGTCGCCCATATATACAGCTTCACCAACAAAGTCCGTAAAATATAGAGAGTAGCAGACATGAGCCATCCAGCAGAACAAGTTTGTTAAGCAAATCATTCGCAAAGAATGTGGCATATATATAATAGTGTATAAGTAGTGTGATAAATTTTCAACGGTCTGAGTGGGAGTTGTGTTATTAATACTCAATTTCGATGCCGCCAAGCTATCTTGTGTAATATTTGTTTCGTAAATCACATTTTCTTCCCTTTCTTTAAATGCAATCGATCCCTTTGAACACTTTCGGTTTGTGAAACGATCTTCTATTTCCGATATATCATTTATCTTTAATTAAATGTAAACAAAATTTTATATTTTACCTATTTGGTATAAAACAATAATATACTACAAGTATAAACATACCGAAAATAGCAATATTTAATGATTATAGGCTAACTTATATGTACATCGAATTTATAACGGCAGTAACGTCATAAAAATAAATTTTCTGAATGACAGTTAACAGTGCATTAAAAAATCATCTTCTGTTGCACATTGTACAATAATTTTAAGTCATTAAGAGAAATATCAAAGCTATATAGCTTAAGTGGCGAGAGTCTACTGATAGATTTAATGTGGATATTTCGCAAAGTACTCCTGTGTATTTACCGAACTAATTAAGAGCATTACATATTTTCGCTTTAATACATGAGAGAAATCAAATAATAATCACGCCCACTTCCCATGTACTGGTTTTGAACGAACAGTTCGAAACTCCTAAAAGTGCAATATTTTCCCATGTAATAACACTTTAAAAACCAAAACCCTTAAGTTTAAATATAAGTTTCTCATAGCAAGCTGTAATGTGGATTTGGGCGAAAAATTTACAATAGCCATGGCAGTGCCTAATTTTCGGTGCAACTTTATATTTTATAACCGGTTTAAATGAAATTACGGTCTGGAAAAATGCAAGGATCCATATCGGCACATGCTGATACACCAGCGGATTACGGTCATTAATTATGGCTCTAAGAAGATGAACTTCGGTCTCCTCAACGGATACGAGAGGGTACAGAGCCTAACCTATAGCGCGGGTGGAGTAGACGCTTTCGTGTATAGAAGTCGAAAAGACCACATACGACAAACTGCACACTGGCCATGGAATGAATCGATAGAACCTGTTCCACCTGAATTGTTGCTCAAAAGGTGAAATCGAGAAATTTTCACGACTGAATAATACTCAGAAAATTCTTTAAGTATATCTATATCGAGCTTGATTTAAAATTAAGAGTAGCCGAAGTTGCGCTTTTCATTTGGAACTTTTACATAAAGAAGTCAATTAATCTCTTTTGCGAAAATAAAGAGGACTATCATGAATCGTTAGATCAATTCTTCTCAATGGGAAAATACGCCTTGGGAATTTTCCGGTAGAATGCGTAGCCTTTTTGGACCTTCTGAATAATCTTCACCTGGTATGATTAATCTGCTCGTTTAGAGTTATTGCAGCGCAGCTACAGAGCGTCAAGGTATATTGCAGCTAACTTGCATTCAACTGTGAAAACTACATTATGTTGGGAGTTCGTCGAGCGGGGGAATCGGACAACTGCCACATCAATAAAACACCATTCCCTTTGTACAAATATGTTAGTATGCATGTTTGTGTGTTTGAACATATGTGCAATTTGTGCCTTCTTGTTGTTCCAGAGTCGCATAGGAAACGGACCTATTTTTAACAGTCTTTCTCAAATTGATTCTGTTTACATAAAAATAAATTTAAATTCATGAACTTGACAAAACGTAAGTGTTTTGTTTTCGAAAGATTTTTTGTTAACTATCATATTTTCGGTTGAAATGTATTTTAACTCTATGTCACCTTACTGGACAACATCTCGGACGAATTGATATAGTGATACCTTATGTCTATGTGTTTTGACCTGTTATGGTAAACTAGATTTGTGCCAGATTCTGTGCGCTGATTGTCACCATATAATATAGGCGTCTCAAGTGCAACGCTTGTTTGGCCGCTGACGATAGGGCCATATACTCAGCCTACTCGGCCATTTTCTTGAAAGTTACGAAATTTTCAAACATCTCATCCTTTGACTTAAGAAAAAAGGTGAAAATACGCGGAGGCATGTCATCGATGAAAGTTAAAAAATATTATGAGCCACTAAGAGAACGCTTCTCAAATGGACCACATGCGTACGTCGGTATGCACCAGCTCCAAAAATTGTTTGGCTCGATTTTCCGACGCCATTGGAAACGGTTGAATGTGGATTTTACTTTTCATACACATTTGCACTGCGCACAGTCTGAAAACTTCACATTTTCTATGCCAAACACCATTTTATTTTTGGCGTTTACTCATTAAGAATCGTTTGTCATCTCCTATTCCTATATCTATATTATATAGGTATATAATATATACTGTTCAGTGTCTACAATTAATAAAAAGTTGTGTGGTTTTATGAAACCACGGTAAAAGTGAAACTTATTTTCATATCGTAGACATTAAATGAATATTTTTTGGAATAATCGTTTTTCGCTGACATTAGTGCACTGTAGGTCGTAATGTTTTACACAACTTAAGTATTTTAAATATTGGCGAGTCTCTATTTTCTTCTGACATCTTTCACATGATTGATTGTTGTATACTCCATCTTCCGGTAGAAAAAATAACTAGCGAGACGAATCAATCGACTAAGGTTCGCGAATGGCCTAATATAGTTTCATGTTCCCGGCAAATTTTACTAGATGTCACTACGCGCACTTAGTAAGTAAGAAATAAAATTTTCACTGTTTTCATATTAAATGCTGACTGTTGATATATAATGTTCGTACGGTTCACCAATAATATTATTAACTAAATTATTTTAGATTTACGGCAAAAATTGAAGTTTAACTATTAAAAACTTAATTTAAATACGGAGTTATTGTTGTTATGACTACAACGCCAACTATACTACTATCATAGTCTATACACTACACGGTCAGCTGATTGGTACGAGCGCCGCCATAATAGATTGGCTGCAGTGATACGAATAGCCAGCATTAATTTTGTTGTTCTTCTATTTTAAAGTGTTATTATTTTATTGATATTAATTTATTATTATATTTTCATACAGTTAAGTGAAAACTCTATAAACTATGGAGAGAAGTGTTATGAATAATAGTGCCAAAACATCTAAAGCACACGTGGGTGCTGAGTAAGTTATAATTCATATTATATAATAATTTATATAAAATATCTTTTCAAAATGTTACTATTATTTTGCATACTGAAACAATTTAAATGTAAAATTAATTATTAGATGTGAAAGATTTAGTTACGTAATGAATTTTTGGTTTTTACTTTTTGTCAAAAATGATGTGTTGAAAAATAAAAAATAACAAGTAAGGAAGGGCTAAGTTCGGATGTAACCGAACATTTTATACTCTCGCAAAGTCAAATGGTATACTCGTTTGAGATTTCTTTGTGGATTGACTGATATTTTCGGTAGAAGGTCAACTATAGGCACTGGGGCCCACATATTTAGTACTTAGAGGCTTGAACAGTTTTGGTTCGATTTAGACAATTTTTGGCCGCAAGGTGGCATACTTTAATTGCATTATTCACGCAAAGTTTTACCCCGATATAATCATTGTTACCTGATTTGCATAGTGGAAAGTGAAAGAATCAGATGGAATTGAAAATGGTGTTACATGGGAAGTAAGCGTGGTTGTAGTCCGATTTCGCCCATTTTCGCACTATGACATAGAAACATGAGAAGAACGTTATGCACCGAATTTGGTTGAAATCGGTTAAGCAGATCTCAAGATATGGGTTTTTACCTAAAAGTGGGCTGTGCCACGCCCACTGACTAATTTTGAACGCGGTTCCTATAAAGCCAATTTATACCATCTCAGAGATAAAATTTAATGTCTCTGGCGTGTTTAGTGCTTGATTTATCGCGCTTTTAGTAGTTTTTAACAGTACCGTTATATGGGGAGTGGGCGGAGTTGCCACCCGATTTCAACTATTTTCACACTGTAGGTAGAGGTTCTAAGAGCATTTACTTCCAGTGATGTTTGTTATTATGGCGTTAGCGGTTTAGGAGATATGCATATTAAACCTATTAGAGGCGGGACCACGCCCACTTTTTAAAAAAAAGTTTTAACTGCAGATGCCCCTCCTTAATGTGATCCTGTGTACCAAATAACAGTCTTGTATTTTATTGCGGAGCTTAGTTATGGCAAGTTATTTGTTTTTGATTAATGGCGTTTTGTGGGCGTGGCAGTGGTCCGATTACGCCCATCTGCAATACCAACCGTCTCACGGTACCAAGAAACATGTCTACCAAGTTTCATAAAATATCTAAATTTTTACTCAAGTTAGAGCTTGCACGGACGGACGGATGGACAGACGGACGGACGGACAGACAGTCACCCGGATTTCAACTCGCCTCTTCATCCTGAGGGGCATCTGCAATTAGAACTTTTTTTAAAAAGTGGGCGTGGTCCCGCCTCTAATAGGTTTAATGTGCATATCTCCTAAACCGCTAATGCTATAATAACAAACTTCACTGGAAGTAAATGCTCTTAGAACCTCTACCTACAGTGTGAAAATAGTTGAAATCGGGTGGCAACTCCGCCCACTCCCCATATAACGGTACTGTTAAAAACTACTAAAAGCGCGATAAATCAAGCACTAAACACGCCAGAGACATTAAATTTTATCTCTGAGATGGTATGAGATGGCTTTATAGGAACCGCGTTCAAAATTAGACAGTGGGCGTGGCACAGCCCACTTTTAGGTGAAAACCCATATCTTGAGATCTGCTTAACCGATTTTAACCAAATTTGGTGCGTAACGTTCTTTTCATGTTTTTATGTCATAGTGCGAAAATGGGCGAAATCGGATTACAACCACGCCTATTTTCCATATGACACCATTTTAAATACCACTTGATTCTTTCACTTTCCACTATGCAAATCAAGCAACAATGATTATATCGGCGTAAAACTTTGCGTGAATAATACGTTTAAAGTATGCCACCTTGTGACCAAAAATTTTCTAAATCGAACCAAAACTGTTAAAGCCCCTAGGTACTGAATATGTGGACCCCAGTACCTATAGTTGACCTTCTACCGAAAATATCAGTCAATCCACAAAGAAATCTCAAACGAGTATACCATTTGACTTTGCGAGAGTATAAAATGTTCGGTTACATCCGAACTTAGCTCTTCCTTACTTGTTAAAGTTATTTATTTACACATTGTTTAATTTTTCTGTTTATTTTATTTTTAACTAGAAAACGATCGAAGCCACCTCCAAAAAGTTAGGCAGAGAGACAACGAAAATTCAAATTAAATAGGAAATTAATGAGAGATGCAGAAACAGCTAAACGTTATTAATCTGAGTCTATGCAGCAATGTACATTACGACGAGTATGTGAAAGCCGTGACGGTCTTAATAACTTTGATTCTGCTAAAATGATTCTAATACATAAAGCAACACCTTCCAGTTACATCGAATCCGTAATTACTGAACAGTTGGCGCTATCGAGTCCTAATACAGGACCTATAATCATACAGCTAGAAGCAGTTATTGAGACTCAATAAAGTATCAAAGTTATAAATAAAAATCATCAATTAAATAAACTACATCAACGTCTGCCAAACTTCAATAACTTGAATGAAATTCGCCAACTTTCAAGCCAATCCACATCGTCTTTACATGTTGTCAATAATGATATGCAACAGGAGTTGAATCAACAAATTGAAAATGGAGATTTCTATGAGCCTGTATAGCAGCAAGACCTTCGTGATGATGGTGGCGAGTATGCAGAGTCAGTCATTGAAGATGAACTGTTGAATGATGAAAATGATTTCAATTTAGAGGAGATTCCACTAGCGGACATCAATCAGCGCATACAGTATTCTGAAAGATGTTCGTGAAAAATCCTTTCGGTCACGTTTGTAATGTTTGTGATCGCTTATGGTTTTTAAATGATCTGAAAGCTGGTCAACGAGAAGTAGAAACTCTACTTCAAAAAATTACGGTACGTCAAAATTGTATACTTTTATCTGATACCTTATTAATCCTTGTTACAAGTATATGACATTTTTTGTAGAACTTTACTGACGTGGCTGAAGTCAAGATGTGCAAAACATGCAATGCCAGTGTTAAAAAAGGCAAAATCCCGCCTTTGGCAACTTTTAACGACTTTGAATACCCAGAGAGGCCAGCGCACTTACCAGAATTAGACATCATTGCTGAACGATTAATTTCACCACGGCTCCCTTTTATGCAGATACGAAGATTGCGCCATTTCAACGGCCAGTTCGCTATAACTGGGCAAATAATTAATGTACCTGTTTCAGTTAACAATATGATAAAAATTTTACCTAGACCACTCAATGGTCAAGAAGAAGAGTTTTGTATTAATGTACACATCAAAAAAAAGCTTATTCATAGAACGAGTTGTCTTCACGGGCTGGTCAAAAGGGCTGTCATCAAACAATATTTAACATACTTGGTCCAGACACCTTTATACAAATATTTTGAAATAAAAATAGATGATTCCTGGTTCACAACTAATGATAACGTTATAATTGATTACAACGAGTCTGCAGATCACACGATACCTGTTGACCCTGAGTCCGTACAAACAAGAATGAATATTGATGAATTAAGTGAGCACATTACAATCGATGACAGTCTTACAGCCCAACAGCAAACTGTTTTGTGGAACGAATATAAATTCTTTCACATCGCTCCAGGTGAAAATACGATCCCAAAAAGTTTACTATTTGATACTTAGGGCAATTCCGTGTATTCCGGGGCGATATTACAGTGACACCATTTATGATGGCAACCAGTGAATTGCGTTGTTCTGATAGACGGGGCGTGATACCAAATAAACTTCTTTATACGGCGATGTAGATATTGCGTCTGAGGATTTGTAATGGTTTAAAGATAGGGTTCAAACACATCGGCACAAACAACAATATCTCTAAAGAGCAAATTTTATCAGAAGATTATATTAATATCTGTTTAGAGAGCAACTTAGCTTTTATGAAATCTATACCTAATTCTGCAGCTTATTGGTTGGCACGTAAGCGGGATCTGTTTGCAATGATGCGCTAGTTGGGAAAACCAACCATGTTTTTGACGACTAGCGCTAATGAAATAGGGTGGCCACATCTTTTACATCTTCTTCATAACTTAAAAATGAAGGAGAAATACTGACAGATGAGCAGATTGAAGCATTAAATTACTTTCAAAAAACAACCTTGGTTAATGAAGATGCCGTATGTTGCGCAATTTATTTCAATAAGCTAGTGAATATCATCAAGATAATTTTACAATCCAAGAAAGTAAGTCCGTTTGGAAAATACAGAGTTGTAAATTACTTCAAACGTATTGAATTTCAACATAGTCCGCACGATAATTTATTATTATGGTTAAATAATGCACCAAAGAATGCTTTGGATAAAAATTATGAAGAAGCCATTGCCTTGATTGATGCTCTTATCTCAGTTAGCTCATCAGAAGCTTCTGAACACATAAAACTTCAAACTCACAAGCATACTTTTACTTGTTATAAAAATACTCGAGCGAATACTCGGCAATGTCGATTCGAGGCGCCTTTCTTGCCTATTCGGAAAACGACCATTGTTATACCACTAAAGAAAGAAAATCCGGAATTGGAAAGACTGAAATTACGATACAAAAATATACGAAAGAACTTACAAGATGATGACTACGACAACATTGAAGATTTTTATCAAGCTAATCTCATAATATCTGATGAAGATTACATAAATATTTTACGAGCTGGAATAACTCGACCGCGAGTATTCATAAAACGGAAACCTTCGGAAAAGTGGCATAATTGTTTTAATCCTTTTGTTCTGAACGTGGTTGGCTCCAACATGGATTTTCAATTCATCACAGAAGAATATTCATGTGCCCAGTACGTCGTTGATTATGTCATATATGATAAGACAAATAGAGGAATTAGCAATTTGCAACAAAAACTCGTCGAGATTATGAATGAAAATCCAGATTTTGATATTATAGCTGCAACTAAGAAACTTAGTGTCAACGTACTCAATAGTATTGAAATGTCACGTCAAGAAGCTGTTTGGTTTTAATTACGGGAGCCCTTGTCCAAGACGTCGGTATCTATTGATTATATACCGACTTATTGGCCACAACAGCGCGAACGAATTAGAAAAACTCTAAAGGAACTAGAACAACTTGATGATGATGATATGCGCATATGGAAAGAAAGTTGGTTCGACAAGTACGAAAAGAGACCCGTTGAACTTGAAGACATCACTTTAGCCCAGTTTGTTTCACGGTATAACGTCACTGCCAATGGAAAGGTTAAACTACGAAAATTTCCCAAATTTCTACGGTATCGAAATTATGATATGGGAAAAGAAATATCAGAATATAAGAGGGAAATGGTTACTCTGCATGTTCCTTTCAGGATTGAAGAAAATGATATTCTATCAGACATGAAATTACGTATTTTTGATGAAAATGAAGCCGTTATAATGGAGCGAAGAAATGAATTCGAATCTAATTTAGATATTGTTAAAACTATGGAAATTTGCGCACAATTATGTCGGCAAGAAATTGAGCTCAACGATTCACAGGATCATCGAAATCAAGTTAATGTAGAAGAAATTCGTGATCCGTATCAACACCTTCTTCAAGATCCTAATTCAAGAATCAACGATGACGTTGTATCAGCGGCAATGAGTAAGCTCGGAGCAATATGGAAAAAGAAAGACAACTTGATGGAGACTCAAGAATTTCTCGAGTTGATGAGAAAATCAAACGCAAAGCAGTTTGAGTTGGCGCAAGATATTATATGGTTATTGAATTCAGAAAATCCACTCCCGTTACAATTATTTTTAACTGGTCCTGCTGGATGCGGGAAAACATTTCTCATTAAGCTTATTATGGAAATTTGCAATCGGTTTACAGATACGGATGGTTATTGTAACGCTTATCTTGCATGTGCATCTACAGGGAAGTCTGCAGATGCTATAGGAGGCACGACTGTTCATACAGCATTTAAAATCTCACTTTCGAAATTTCAATCACCATTATCAAATGAAATCAAAGGCCTCTATAGATCTTTATTCAAGTACGTTAAGATGATAGTAATTGATGAGATCAGCATGATCGGGGCGGAAATGTTAGAACGTATAGATTCAAGACTGAAAGATATAACTGGCAATTTTAATGCTGCTTTTGGTCGTTTACATATATATAATTCTCATCGGTTATTTGAGGCAATTGCCACCCGTTAGAGCTACTCCTATTTGGAAACAAAAGATCCAACGAATCGATGGTCAGCAGTTGTGGAGAGGAATCGCTTTTTATGAATTAAACGAAGTAATGTGACGAGAAAATTCTGAATTTTTATTACTGTTGACAAAGATTGGTAATGGAGATAAGCTGGAGGAACAACAATTGCTAATGATTGAATCAAGGTTTTGTTCAGATGGAGAATCGGAAGAACGCTGTCCTAGTGGAATTCGTTTATTTAATGATAACCATTCAGTTGATAGTTATAATTTAAGAATGTTAAGCACATCTGATGAAAGGTCAAATTCCATTGGTGATGACGAAATAATAGGATGTGATGGTGATCGCGAAAAAGAAAGAGTTGCTAGAGTGAAGCTTCATACACTCAATACAATCGACACAGGAGGATTACCATACGAAATTATTTTTGCTATAGATAAACCGTACATGATAACAACAAACATCGATGTCGCCGATGATTTAGCCAATGGGGCACTTGGTAAATTGTCATATGTTGAGTTGAATACTGAAAATGAAGTCTGCGAGTTTGGCTTCTACAATTTCCAAAAGGAGTGTTAAAGCTCGTGGAAAAGTAGCTGGCTACGCAAACGCAAAAGGAATCAGTACAGAATTAGTTCCTATCAGCCGTAGGTCATTTTCCACTCAAATCCACAACGCAATGAAACGATGCTTCTCTTGCGCAATGAGTTTGCCAGGCTTTCTACGGTTCATCTTACTACGATTGATCACATTATTCTCAATATAATGAATGAAGGTAATATGAATAACTTTTCGCTTAATTGCCAAAGTCTCCTGGCACATGCACGGGATCTTCGAGGAAACATTATACAGAAAGCACATATTTTAATGTTATCAGAAACATGGCTTCGCAACGAGGTATCGATTGAAATTGGCAATTTTAAATGTATATCTCAGTTTAGACGACCAGAAATTAATCGTGGAGGGGGAGTCAGTATTTACCAACACGGTAACGATACTTACTTAAGAAATGCCCAGCAATTCAGCCAAACTCATTCCCAATTTGGGAGACATATGTACTGCGAGATGTATTATACCTAATGATCAACACATTGTTCTCGTTACAATTTATATTTCCGCCAATCAAAAAGTTACCGATGTGATAGATTTTATTCACGAGACATTGTTAGCTTATACTGAGGGTGGATCGAAGCTATTGAAAAAACAGTATCATTTACTGCCACTATTACTGATTGGCGATTTTAATATAGATTTTAACAAAAATTACGGATTGAGATTGATACAATTTTTAAAATCTGAATTTGATTTAGATATTGCTTCTAATAGAACACTAGGGACGACGAGATATGGTACAACCATTGATGCGGTGTTTTCACGATTCGTGAACCATGTATCTACTTGTACTAAAGTTCACGTGTCATATTTTAGTTACCATAAACCTCTTGTCACAGTGATTAATAATAATGACACTATAAATCTAATTATAATTAATATGTAAAATGATAATAAAATTTCATGATAATAAAAATATAATATTAATAAAATAAGTGAATCTTCCTAATGATATATACATGCAAGATCTATTTGAATGTAAAATGTTCGATGTATAATATTGCACCGATTATTATTGAAATTGTAAATAAAGTAAAGATATAAATATTCTCTAAGTATTTTCATGAGTGCGGTTATTTACCCTAACATGTGATGGTCTTTTTCAATACGCTTTAATTAGCTTCTGCTGTATGTCTGTTTGTAACCGATACTTTTGATTCGTTTTGTGCCTGTTCGTAAAAACTATTTGTGAGGAGTAAACTCCAGTCGTGCGTCGGAGCTGACACACACACTTTTTTGTAAGCTTTATCAGACTGCCACAATTTAAGTCACCATATCTATTATGCCAAATTACTGCACTGCGCTGCACCAAAACACGCGTTGTTAATGCAATCAATTACAAACAATTTATTTTTCTTCTCTGCTTTTACAATTTGTTTACCATTCTGGCTTACGATAGCGTATTCGTTGTTAAAGCCTACTGTAAAACTGCGTTCGGTAGTTCGACTCAACGATACGAAAGTTCCCTTTATTTGTCCCTAACATTCAAAACGTTCTACAACCTTAGCTCACACAAATCGGCTTGAACTACAATGTCGACTTTGCCTACTGCGCGTATAACATTGTTGTCGGCCAACACAATATCCTCTGATTGTGAGACCTAATTTGTATAAAGATTACGTGAGCCACTCATACATATGTGCCGACGCGCCGCGGACCAGGTACCATCTCGAATATTTTAGAACACCCACATCTGTCGCCGCTAAAACTATAAACGATTGTTGTGATTCTGCCGATTTCCTTTTTACTCTATTTCTGCATGAATTTTCATAGACCTCGTTGGCCACATTTATAACATTTAATATGACTCTTCTCCTCTCGCTTTTTCTCAATCGGCTTTGTTGTTGCCTGTTGTTCACTGTAATGCTCCATTTTAGATGTATTGCTTCTGCGAACTCCTTTCTCTAATAACTTTATTATTAATATCTCAAGAGAAGGCAGACTATCGCGTGTTTCCATGGCTATCACGAAGTTTTCATAGCTTTTGGGCAAGCTTGAAAACTGTATTATTACTGCCGGCTCTTCACTGATCCTAATGTTAACCTCCGAGAGCTCCTGTTGAACAAAATTTATTAATGTAGCTGGGCATAGCGTCGGTTTCTATCATCCGCGAACCAAGCTGCTGCTTGTAAAGCGACACTTTTGTTACTGGCCCACAGGGTTGATGCACCTCTTTTAGCTTTTTCCAGGCACTAGCTGAAGTTGTACAGTTCTTTATATAGTACAATTGCGACGGCTTCACATTCAATGTCATCATGGCCAATGCTTTGTTATCAAGCGAATCCCAGTTCTCTTCATCTGCTGCTGGTCGCTGTCCCCCAATCACATTTCACGCCTCTGCATGCACCAGCACGCTGCGCATTTGGATGCTCCAGGTATCGTAATTATCTTTATTTTATTTCTCAATCTGGTAAATGGAACTCATTGCGATCGCGTATCTTGTTTGAATTTAAAATGAATGCATGTAC